AGGAAAGTCCCCTTCCGCATGCGAAAGTTTCGCAGCCACTGGGATTCATCCCAGACCTGAAGCACTATGCGGTCCCACCAATCCGTGCTTGTTTCCCGGGCCCAGAATCGCCGTTCAACAAAATCCACATGCCCCATTGCCACCGTGATGTCCTGGGCGCTGGGGCTCGTGGTTTCTGACAGCTCTGTGCTACTCTCCGACTTCAGGCCCTCACGGCGGTGCCGTAGCCTCCTCGCCTGATTTCTCTGCATCTGCCTGTGGGAAAGGTGTATGATAAGGTGCGAGGCGTTGAGAACGGCCACAACTGCAGCGATGGTCGCAGCGGGATCCATGATCGCAGTGCTGTGGCGTCCGCGCTGTCACTGATCAAAAAGTGCGCGAACTGATTTCCCGCCGGCGCTTTCAGGGAGGGAGGCAGGGCGGTAGTGACTGACGGATGACGACAGTTACCCAAAAGCACCCTCGCCACATTTTTTTACCCAGAAGGCATTGGGGGCTCGACCCAGAATTCCAATGGGCAGCGGGGACTGCGGGAACTGTGGGATAGCTGCCCACAGTGCACTGCTTCCAATGTCGACGCTTTCCCTGGTAGTGTGGACTGACAAAGTCGAATTACTGTCCTTAGTGTAGACACACACGTTCGACTTTCTAATATCGATTGCACATATTCGATTTAACTAAAATCGAACTACTCTCGTAGTGTAGACATACCCTTTATTTGGCTGTTGAGTCTGAAAATAAGTTATTGATCGAAATCGCCTCTCCCTTGAGGCAGACCTGTTTTAAACAACATTAAATAGCCAGAGCCTCCTTTTGTTTCTTTCTTTCTTTCTGGTATTTCAGCAACTGTGGACTTTGGCCATACGTCCGTGTGCTCCAAGTTGGTGCACATGCCCTGAACTAGAGTGCTGGGCTTCCATCTTGCTGGCTCTCACTTTAAGTCTTTAGTGATGATCAATTTTTATAGCATCTTGGGTGCTAAAATATTAGGCAGTTTATTAGCTTCCCGTTGCTTGGTAAAGCTTTGTCTTTACTCCCAAATTTTGTAGTGGCTGTCTCAAACCCCCTCCCCCCCAAACGTGACCGCTAATCAATATGAAAAAATTCTGCTATAAAATAACTTGCACTTGAAATGTTAAGTTTGTTCTAAACTCATCTGTTAGTTAAGGTTGCTCATATCGTGCTCTAGAGGCCAGGACACCCATTTTGGATCTAATTGCAGGTGAATAAAATTTCCTGGGGCTGATTCAATGAAAATAGAGGCCAACTGATCTGTGAAAGTGGCCAGCTGCAAACTGTTGGTTCCTACGTCGTGCTCCGATTTAAAACTATCCTCTAGTGTAGGGCCACGGTGCACAGACGAATCCATTTTAAAAACACTGAAGAGCACTTCAGCGTCCTGTTGTCGTTAAAGAAGCTTCATTTCTTCCTTTTGCCTATAATTCGGGTGCTCTGGTAAACTGGACTTGGTCTTAGAATCAATGAATCCTTGTTAAAGCTTTTTTTAACTCTCCTACAGGGCTTCAGGGCACCGAGTTTCCTTGATGAAGGTAGGTCAGACCGATCCGAGTGGGTATTGAGACTCCCACAGCCCAGTGTGTGGGGTGAACTTGCTCAGATGGTATCCCAGAACACTGCTTGTTATCTTGCTTCCCAGGGGAGTGTACCTCACCAACAAAGATTGGTAGCGCCAAATCCTGCTTGTTTGTTTTTACACAAGCAAGCCAACTGCACACATCGGCGTGATGACTAGGAGTCGGGCAAGTAGAATCTAGCTGGTACCAGGCCTTTCTTTCCATGGATTGGGGATGCACCACTGTCAGTTCCTCTAGCACCCTACAGTGGCTCTGAGTTTTGTACAATAAATACATTGGCTGCCCTAGTCTGTCATTTGAAGTGTAACGTTGCTTGATTTCTTAAACAGGTGATGAGTGGTGCAGGCTTCCATATACTGGCTCTTGACTACAGAGGTAAACTTAACAAAACAAAAAACAACAAAGAAAGCTGTCTCACAATTTATTGAAATGTTGTTATTCATGTTATAACCCCTAATCTGCTGCATCCCAGGGTATGGGGACTCGAGTGGCTATCCAAGTGAGACGGGATTGACTACGGACGTCATGTGCCTCTATGACTGGGTAAAAGCCCGGAGTGGAAATAGCACAGTGCTCTTCTGGGGACACTCCTTGGGCAGTGGGTAAGTGTGGTACTGGAGACCGGCCAAAGGGTGTAGAGTCTAGGGATTGTAGTGACGCATCCCTTGTGTTGCTGGACAAATGGGGAGTTGCTGTATAACCTAAAATACCAGGGTGGGTTTTAAATGCAAACATGTAATGCAGATCTCTTCTCTCTCCTCTGATCTCGGCTACTGCTAAAACTTGCTTTTTAATAAAGGAAAATCCTGTCCAATCCCCTATTTCTCCCATTAGGCCTTGTTTATAGTCGAAAAATGTCTTTGTAGTCACACTTCTTCAGTGACTTGTAAGGCACTGAACTCCATAGACTGCCTACAGGAGGGGTAATGTCCTGGCCCAGAGGACTGGAAGAATGCTCAAGTTGTGCCAACATTTTAAGGAGTGAACAGGATAATCTGGGTGACTCTAGGCCTGTCAGCTTGACATCAGTCCTGGGCAAAATGTATGGAATGGCTCATATGGGATTCTGTTAATAAAGAATTAAAAGAAGGTAAAATAATTAATGCCAATCAACATGGGGTTAGGGCCAATAGATTTCTGCAAACTATTTCTTGCAACTGTCGTTGACAAAGGTAATGATGCTGTGACACACAGACTTCTGTGAAGCAGTTGATTTGGTACCATATGACATCTTGTTTAAGAAACTAGAAAGATACACAATCAACATGGCACATACGAAATGGATTAAACTGGCTAGCTGGTACATCTCAATGTAATTGCGAATGGGGAATTATCTTTGAGCGGGTATTTTATTTATTTATTTTTAAGTTGGGTTCTGCAGAGATTGGTTCTTGGCTCTATTTATTTTTATCCATGACCTGGAAGAAAACAAAATTACTGATAAAGCTTGCTGGTGACCCAAACATTGGGGGGAGTGGTAAATACTAAAGAGTATAGTCACTGATACAGAGCGATCTCGGTCACCTTGTAAGCTGGGCAGCCATAAGCAAACATGTTACAGTACAACCAAATGTGAAGTCCTACCATCCAGGAACAAAGAATGTAGGCCATAGTTTAGGCTGGGGGACTCTATCCTGGAAAGCAGGGACTCAGGAAGGCTTGTGGGGGCCATGGTGGATATGCAAGCTGAACGTGAACTCCCAGTACAATGCAGTGGCCAAAAATGCTAATGTATAAACAGGGGAATCTTGAATAGGAGCAGAGGTTATCTGGCACTCGTGTGACCACTGCTGGAATATAGTGTTCAGCTCTGGTGTCAAGAATTCAAGAAGGATGTTCGGAAAAATTGGAGAGGGTTCAGAGAAGAGCCACAAGAATGATTAAAGGATTGAGAGAACCTGCTTGATAGTGATAGACTCAAGGAGCTCAATATATTTAACTTAACGAAGAAAAGGTTAAAGGTCTGTCTTGATTAGTCTAAAAGTATCGACATGGGGAACAGAAATCTGATGATAGAGGGCTCTCCAGTCGATCAGAGAAAGATATAACAAGATCCAATGGCTGGAAGATTAAGCTAGAGAAACTTAGAGTAGAAATAAGGAGCAAATTCTTAACAATGAGGGTAATTAACCGTTGGAACAATTTACCAAGGGATGTGATGGATTCTCCATCCCTGGAAATACTTAAGTCGAGATTGGATCTCTTTCTGAAAGAAATCCCATTTCAACCACAGCTGTTAGACTTGAAGCAGGAATTGGTTCAGGGGAGTCCATTGGGCTGTGTTATACGGGAGGTCAAGTGAGATGAACCCAATGGTCAGTTCTGGCCTTAATCGATACATCTCCTTTTAAAATGCACTGCCCCCATCGTCACTGACTCACCTCTCCTTTTTTTAGAGTAGCAACAAATGTTGCAAGAAAACTGCTTGAAGAAAAAGGTAATTCTCAAATGTTTATAACCAAGGGCTAGCCCATCAGCTGGGTGGAGCTGAGAGGAGCAAGAGTCGGTCACAGCTCGCTGTGGCCACAGCCAAACTTAGAGCAACCTAAGGGCTTGTCTACACCACACCGGCTAGGTTCAGCTCCAAAGGGCTGTCAGCCAGGGATTGCTGGAGTGCACTGTGCTTCAGGCATTTCCTGGATGCTGGGGGATGCAGGGTGGGTGGGTGGCCTAGGGAGCTGGCTCTGCACCTGTTGGGAACTCCCCCTCCATAGGAGGGGAGTTGGCAGCTGCTCTCTGCTTCCTTGGCACTGTCCAAGTGCCATGCAGGGCAGACCTAGAAATTGCAGTAACTTGAAGTGGTTGTCCAGCCTCTTTAATTTTCAAAGTATCCAGCTGATTGAGCCTCATCCAGAGCTCATTGCAGTCACTGGAAATACACCAACAACCTTTGAATCAGGCATTAGGCAGTCTCTGAATAGTGGTGGGAGGCGTGGAGGCAGCGCGAAGGATGTTGAATGGTCCGTAGCCTAACTGATCATTTCACGCTCCTTACTGTTTCCAAGGCATCCAGGTGGACTTGATCGTTCTGGAATCATCCTACACCAACATTCGGGAGGCAGCAGCTCATATCCCCATTACCAGAGTAAGGCCACAGACTCTCTGCATCCTAGCATGGCTGCACGTGGAAAGCAAGTGCATGTTGCCAGTGAGATTTTTCTAAGTAGCCTGGCTATATCTCCCTTGTGGGACTGGGAAGGGAGCGTTCTTTAGATGTCTGACACCTAGTGTAGCTCCTGGCTATCAACCAGCATTCAGCAGTGGGAAACGCAATGGCAGTCTTGTCTGGGAAGGTCCTTCAGTAAATCTCTGGGATGAAATCTGTCTCGGGACACCATGAACTCATGTGGACACTAAAGCTGTTGCCCTATGGGAGATGATACCATATTCCACAGCCTCCAAACACAGTATCTCTTGGCCTGCAAATCAACAAGGGACAAAAGATCAAGGTTGAGATCCTCGCCCTGCTCTGGCTCCACACTGGGTCAAATGCCTGGAGTGGTGTCAAGGGGCTGGGGAGGCGTTCACATGATGCGGTGACTGTGGAAGAAAGACCATAAGGCTGCCTGGCCTAGGGTGCATGCTGGGGGCGGGAGGGTAGTGGTGGGTGGAGCATGTCAGGGTAGGACTGCAACCCAGAGCGCTGCAGAGATTCTAGGCAGTGCTGGGGCCTGTAGGACAACCTGGGGAGGCTGCTGTAAGTGAGACTGGCTCCCAGAGCTGTCTAAGTTATTGGGTGTCCTCCAGTTACCAGAGTAGCCTGGGATTAGAAGAGTGCAGAGGTGGGTCAGTCTCTAAGGAACTCCTCCCCTTCCTGGGTTGCAAGCTCACCCCAGAATGCGAGTCAGCCTCACTCTTGGTACACGACACGGTAACCCCATTTCCGGGCCCTTGGTGTTGCTTAGGGAGGAGAACACTCATTTGTGTCTTTCTGGTCCTGAATAGTTGTCTTGTAAACGTTCTCCATGCAGAATAGGTAAGGGGGGGTGGTGAATCAAAGCTGGCGATAACGCACGTGAAGAGGGGAGACCTTAGAACGGTCAGGCTGCTTAACACATTCTGTAGATGGAAATTCTGCCTTTCCTTAGCGTGAAGGATTGTTGTGTCTCAGTGGAACGGGCACAAGGTGACCTGGGTTCTGGTCCCACTGCCGCGCTGTGTAACTACAGGCAAATCACTTAATTTGTGCCTGTCAGTAACATGGCAATCACACGTTCCTAACTTTGGGCAGTGCTCTGAAATGTGTCAACCCCCTGCATGCTGCCCTAGAACTTCAGCTCTGCATAGGATTTAGACTAATCCTGGATGATTGCTTAGCCTTAATTGTTCTGTGTGTACAGCACCTGGCACGATGGGGTCCCGCTAGAATCTCATTTACTATTAATGAATTAGTGTGTCGATTTGGGAGGGGTAAATGTTTGTCATTTGGTCAAGAGCTCTACAGCACCAGGATACACCATGCCTGGGCTCTTGTTTTAGGTGTCACTTGGAATGGAGATGTTCTGTTCCCAGATAGTGGGCTTTAAAACCAGTGACTGACTCAGTTGTGGTGAGGACGGGGAAGCCCTGGTTGACAGAGCTGTCGGCAGTGCTGAAGAAATAGCACTTGTCAAACGCTGGTCAGCGATACATAGCAATGGCAGGGTAAATACTTGACCTTGGTAGTGCTCAGACTTGGGTGAGCTTTTTGTTCTTCTTGTTCAGTTTTACTAATGAAAAAGCTGTATGTATGGGAAGTATGGACCCATTCCTTGGGTGGGAGTGTGCAGGGGGACAAACTGAATGCCCTGAAAAACTAGGGACAGTGAAGAGGTACAACAGGGACCCTAATGTAAAAACATAAGAATGGCCACACTGGGTCAGACCAAAGGTCCATCTAGCCCAGTGTCCTGTCTTCCGACAGTGGCCAGTGCCAGGTGCCCCAGAGGGAATGAACAGACAGGTTATCATCAAGTGATCCATCCCCTGTCGCCCATCCCCAGCTTCTGGCAAACAGAGGCTAGGGATACCATCCCTGCCCATCCTGGCTAATAGCTATTGATGGACCTATCCTCCATACATTTATCTAGTTCTTTTTTGAACCCTGTTATAGTCTTGGCCTTCACAACATCCTCTGGCAAGGAGTTCCACAGGTTGACTGTGTGCATCGTGTGAAAATGTAAAGAGGGACTCCCACTCCCATGCTAGCACTGTGGGAAGGAGGCTGAGAGGGGCCTGGTTTGAAAAGCCAAGGACTAGAATCAGTGGTCTACATCTGACACCACTCCATACGAATGCAGGCATGGGAACTGTTTTGCAGTGTGGTGTGGATGGGAGCCCTCTGCCCTTGAGTGCAGTATTCAGCCCCATGCTCAGTGAGAGCCAAGGGTTAAGCTGAAACAGACCATAAAAGGCTCTTTCTTCTGATACAATTCACTTGTCCACTTGGAAAAACTTGTTGCTTCCTGACCCAAACAGGCTGTCTGACACCAAGCTACAGCTCATGTAGCTACTGGCTCCCCTATATTCTCCCCCCCCCCCCCCCCCCTGCTCTGGTATGCTCATTATCCCAGTCTGATGCTGCAGCCAAAAGCCAGGGTTTTGTTTTGTTTTTTTCCTTGGCACAATTGACCTGCTCCCAAGACTTGTTTACACACAACTATGGCTTTGCTGGTGCAGTTTGTGTTGAGATTCCCTCATTCGTCTTTGTTCTCTTGGTGGAAGCAGATGGAATGGGATTTTCTTGCCGTGGATGAAAAGTGAGATGAAAGGTGGCGTATTGCACTGAACTCTCCCTCTTTCTTTAACAGATCTACCGTCAGTTCCCAGGATTTGAGTACTTCATCCTCGACTCAATGGCGTTGGGTGACATGTTTTTCCGTAGTGATGAGAAGTGAGTAATGTTTCTGGACCTACTGTTATGCTTGAAGCGTGAATGTTTGTCATGGTGCTGGACTGGCTAGCTGCAAGGAACAAAGTCCTGTTCCTGGTTCCAATACAACCCATCTTCTGTACAGCGGAGGAATCACTCAGACTGGCTGCACTGAGAGGCTCAGCCTCGTGGAAGCTAGATTTTCATACAACACTGTCTTTTCCCATCGAAATTAGCTAGTCTCAGTATCTAGCTTTCTGAGAGACTTCTGCCCCCTAAAACATGCGCTTTTGCCACCTACAAAATGACTGATGTAGATTTCACTGTTTAGACAAGTTCAGTCTCATCGTCCCTCATCTGGGTCGGTCGGTCTGTCTGTCTCAACCTTTTTCATTTATGGACCCCTAAAAAATTTCAAATGGAGGTGTGGACCCAGTTGGAAATCTTAGACGTAGTCTGCGGACTTCCAGGGGTCCATGGACCACAGGTCGAAACCACCCGTCCCTCAACAACAGCCTCTTTTTGAAAACCTCCCGTGAAAGAGCTTCCATGACTTCCCGAGGTGTCTGTTCCATTGTCCTACTGTTCTGACAGGAAGCTTCTCCTGAGATTGAATCTAAATCTGCTGTGCTGCAGTTGGAACCCATTGCCTCTTGTCCTGTCCTCAGTGACAAGAGAGAACAACTTTTCTCCATCTTTTTTTTTTTTTATGGCAGACTTTCTAGTACTTGAAGCCAGCTATCATATCCCCCCTTAATTTCTTCCTTTCCAAACTAACCCTATCCTGTTCCTTCAGCCTTTGCTCACAGGGCTGCATTCCATCCCTTTGATCATCTTTGTCCCTTGCCTTTGGATCCTTTCCAGTTTCTTCACATCCTTTCTATACAGCAGTGACCAAAATTGGACACAATACTCCAGCTGAGGCCTAACCAGCACAGAGTAGTGGTACTATCACTCCTGTGACTTGCATGCTATGCCTCTGTTAATGTAACCTAAAATTGCATTTTTTCTTTTTTTGCAACAGCATTGTGTTTTTTACTCCTGTTGAGGTTGTGATCCACCACAACTCCCAGATCCTTCTCAGCAGTGCTGCTGCCAAGTCATTTACCCCCTTCTATATTTGTTCATTTCGTTTTTCTTCCCCAAGCATAGCCCCTTACATTTGTCTCTGTTGAATTTCATTTAATCATCTATAGCCCAGTTCTCCAGTGTATCAAGATCTCTTTGAATTTTAGCTCTATTCTCCAAAGTGCTTGCACCCCCCCACCCCAGCTTTGTCTCGCTTGCAAATCTGATCAGTGTGCTCTCTAGTCCTACTTCCAGGTCATTAATGGAGATGTGAAATAACACCAGACCCAGAACAGATCCCTGTGGAGCCCCACTTGAGCCTTTCTTCCAACTCTTTCTGGCTTAACCAATTATATAGCCACTTAGTGGTAGTTTTGAGTGAGCCCACATTTCTCCAGCTTGCTTATCAGAATGTCATGTGGGACTGTGTCTAAAGCCTTGCGTATTCAGAGAGACTCACCCAAACACTTGGGTGGGGAGGGAAGCTAAAAGCAGGACATCAGTCCCAGTCAAGCAGAATAAACCAATTTTGCCCAGGCATATTTTCAGCCTTGCTTCCATAGTCAAGTGTTTGGTGGAGACAGAGGGCTGATCTACTGAGAAATATTTTGCACTAGGACTAGCGACTATATATTAAGGCTTTCTTCCTACCATGGAGTCTCTGTCATAAGTACACTACAAAGCGTTAACTGGCCATCCCAAGACTGAAACACCCTACACAGCATAGAGCGAGCTCAGCTACCTGGACCTCCACAATCTTGAGGGGGGAAGGAACTCACTCCTCCACCAAACTGCTGCAGAGCTCTGTCACTTTGACTTTTGCTACAAGCAGCAGCACCAGGGATTTGAGTGTCAAGTCCATTATTCCAACTGATTACGAAGAGGATAGTATTTAGGACTTCTAGTCTTCAGCATTTGTCAAGTGTGTGTAGGGGGGAAGGTATTTCTGGTACCTGCAGTGTCCTGAAATTCAGATGTTTCTACACACTCTTTGTGCAGACAATGTTCTGCTCCTGTCTGCTTTAAAAACTCAATGCTCTCTCCTCTTAAATCTTAACAGTACAAACTGCAGCTAAATGGCATAGCACTTTGGGCTGGGAGAGACCCCTCAAACCAATATTACTAGCAAACTTCGATCCTAACACTGGCCCTTGTTGGTAAGCACTAGGTTAAATAACCAGAAGCTGTGTATTTCTGTAACATACTCTATTTTTTCCTTAGTGTTAAAGTGCTGTCCAGTCCCCTTTTAATTTTGCATTCAGAAGATGACCCTATCTTGCCCATCCACCTGGGTAGAAAGGTAACTTTTGTCACGGTTCAAGCCAACTTTACATCTTTATGCTGTTAGGTTATTGGGGAAAGGTGAAGCCAAAGGAAGTCGGAGACTGTTCTGTTTTACAAACAGGCCCTGTTACCAGCAGTGGCATCACCTATACTTCTCAACTGTAGAACAGAATCCTTCATAGGCTGCTCACTGAGAAGAATCTCTGACTTCCTATGTGCTGTGTTTAAGGCCGTGCATAAAAATTCCATGCAACACAGATGGGTTTTTATTGGGGAAGTGCAGCCCTTTCAGCATGACAGAGCAGTATCTCCCACGGGTGTAAGCAGTGTTCCCGCCGATTTTTTTCCCACCCACGTGCAGAATGAATTATGTGCACCACTATGACACATCACCTTCATATTGGTGCACATAACAAAACTCACGTGGTGGGGCCAAGGGGTTTGGCGTGTGGGAGGGGGCTCAGGGCTGGGGCAGAGGGTTGGGGTGCAGGGGTGTGAGGGCTCCTTCTGGGGGTGTGGGCTCTGGGGTGGGGCTGGGGATGAGGGGGTGCTCAGGGACTACAGTGGGGAGAGAAGACTCCCCCCCCCGCTCTCTCTCCCTGCAGCAGCACCTGGGCCGGGGGGGGAGGAGGAAGAGGCACCTCTCCTGGCTGTAGCAGCTCTGGGGCTGCAGGAGGGGTGCCCCTCCCTGAACCCCTGTGGTTGAGGGAGGGGCACCCTCCTGCAGCAGGTCCTTGGGCGGGTTCCCTGAGTGCCTGCACAGTGCTAAATAGGCTGCTGCGTGGCCACGCAGCTTACAGGGAACTTGGGTAAGTGCACTGTGTGTATGATACCGCTAACAGCCCCCATTATCACACTGCTACGCTATAGCCACCTCTTCCCCTTCAACATCCCTTCGTTCCCCTCATGACTAGTACCCTGGAGGCTAGTCTTGCTGCTTCCCTCAACTACTGAACATTCCCATTATCCAGCTGCCTCCAACCTAGAAACAACTGCCGTGGCCTGAACAGCTGTGCGTCCATCTGGACCCTTAGGCAGGCAGCCTAGTTCAGAGAAATCCTGCCTGTGTGTGTGTGTCAGGTCTAAGCTCAAGTCATGATGCAGGGCTGGAGCACTGTTAACCAGACTCCATAGAAAGAAGGGCATCCAGGCTGCCTCAGAAGTGAGTAACTGTCTGGGCCTTTCTCTTGTCTCTAAGAGTTCTGAAAGACCTTTCATGGCCATAGAGGAACCTTTAGATCGGCTTTGTTTGTCTTTAACCTTCATATTCACCCCCATGGAATGTGGAGGTGCTATTCTTCGTGGAGGTCGGTACATTTTTCTTGAAGTACCTTGCAGAAAGGAACCTGATGTTGCACTATGGTTTGGAAAATGGAAAGTAAGACTAGTAGGGCTAGCAAGTGCAGTTAACAGACGTGATTAACTCCAAACAAATTAACTACATTAATTGCAGTTTTAACTGTACTGTTAACTTTAAATTTATATTTTGATGTTTTTCTACATTTTCAAATACATGGATTTCAGTTACAACAGAATATGAAGTGTACAGGGCTCACTTTATATTTTTAATTACAAAATTTGCACTGTGAAAAATGTATGAGGTGAATTGAAAAATACTAAGTGCTACAGTGAAACTTTTATTGTGAAAGTGCAACTTACACATGGCTTGTTTTTTACACAACTGCACCCAAAACACAAAACTTTAAAGCCTACAAGTCCACTCAGTCCTACTTCTTCAGCCACTTGCTAAGAAAGACAAGTTTGTTTACATTTATGGGAGATGCTGCCCGCTGCTTCTTTACAATGTCACCTGAAAGCGAGAAGCAGCATTCACATGGCATTGTAGTAGCTGGTGTTGCAAAGTATTTGTGCCCCTTTGTGCTGCAACCACCATTCCAGAGGATGTACTTTTATGCTGACTTTAAAATTGGTATTCTATTTAACAGTGCAATTAACTGCAATTAATAGCAACTACTTTTAATCTTAATTGCCATTTTTAATTGTTTGACAGCCTTAGTCTAAAGCAGTCAAGATCATGAACTTGAGCCTGAAGTAAGTGCAGTGTTCAAAAAGCCAGCATGCCCAGTGTTCTGTGAACTAAGTAACCACAGCTGCAGTAAATGGCAGTGTATGAATTAATTGGTTCAAGGGGAAGGGATTATGGGGCTCCTGTCAAAGGAAACACCCTGATATTCCAGCTCAATGACAATATCCAAAGCTTGTAGGCCACGTAAAACTAACAAGGCTTCTGCATGCTAAAGAATTCTTGTTGAAGCCTTCAGTGCTGTTTTCCCCTTAATATTAGCTACTTTGGGGGAGAAGTGGGTGTACCCCTTATGAAACTGGATCAGCAGGGGGCTATGTGGTGGTTGAGGAAGAGAAACAGGTCTAGTGGATAAAGCGCTGGATTTATGCAGGTGACCCAGCCTCAATTCCCAAGACAACCACAGCCTGACCTTGGGCAAGTGACTTGCCTGATCCCATCCTTCTGCCCCAGGTTCCAGAGGACTTAATGGATTACATTAAGTGCCCATACTGTAGTGAAGAGGGCCATGTAAAACTACCTCCATAGAGAAGCCATTAGAATTCACTTAACTGCACTCTAAAGGACACGTAGAAGACTGATTCTCTCTCTCTCTCCCCCCGTCCCCCTAGCTCTTTGAGATTGCTCTCCACTCCTATGAGAACAAAGACAAGGTCAAGTTTGTTGCCTTTCCAGAGAAGCTGGGTTTAGCCCATGAAAACATCTGTTCAGATCCAGAACTGCCCGACATTGTGAAGTAAGTAATGCCAGCAGGTGACTCTTCCGCTATCAAATAAGCTTGTTTAGAAAGTAGCTTGTTCTGTGGGGTGGGTGTGGGCAAGTGTCCCTCTCAGCTGCAGGTCACGGGCTCGAAGCTGCCCAGGTCTGTAGCCAGCTAGTTAGCAGCTGCTGGTTGGCTGTGGAGGTAGAAGGGGGTTTGCAGCCTTAGACCACAACTGGCACCTTTAACAGGTGAGCAAAGCAGTGAATGGGCAAGGGCTTTGACATTACCCCTACAGCTGGATAGGCCAGTTCACAGGGCTGTGATTAGCTCCATGGCTGAACAGGAAGTTAGGCTCCAAGTCCTAATTCAACGGATGGAAACTAGGACATCTGAGTGAGTGACTATTGGGAAGCAAGAGCCTGTAGCAACTGCTAGCAGCACTGCTGGCCATGGTAACTTGAACTCTTCCCAGCCTTAGCAGCATCAATTCTTGTTGAGAAGGGGGAAGCATGGGGCAGTTCAGGAGACTGGTGTTCTGTTCCAGCCTCTGATGTGGGCGGCTGCTGCTGCTTAGCAAGGTCCTTTCACCCTTTGTGTCTGTTTTCCTTTTTTACAAGTGGGGATAATGCTGCTGCCTCTCCCTTGTCAAATCTATAGAAAAACTTACCCTTGGGCAAGGGCTTATGCTAGTCAATGGGCCTGTTGCTTTTCCTCACCCTTGGTGTAGATCCCGGTCACTCTGCTGGGAAGAGTCCTCTGGCTTCCCTGGGTAAGCACAGAGATCATGTTCTTACCTGTGACATACATAGCTGTGCTAGTGGTCAGCTAAACTGTATTCAAGAGGTTCCTAAACTTTTATTATATACCCCCTTCCAGATCTACCAGCTGGCTGTGTACACTTATCCTTCTCAGCACTGTGTGTTAACATGAGCTGCTGTTAGCATCTGTGCATATTTCACTTTACTCAGGGGGCAATTCTGCTTCACTGCACAATGTAGAATTTGCACAGCAATTAAGTTGTGCAGGCACAATCTCAATAGGCTGCAGAGGTGTGGGCCACCACTAGGGGTTGCTGGACCTGGCAGAGTCCATCTTGCAAATACAGTAACTCCTCACTTAATGTTGTCACATTGCTGATCTATTAGGGAACATGCTCATCTAAAGTTGTGCAATGCTCCCTTATGTTTGGCAGCTGCCTGCTTTGTCCACCGCTTGCAGGATTCTCTGGAAGAGCAGCCCCTCATTAGAGCAGTTGTCTGGGTTCTGATGTGGAAGGGGGCAGAGAAATAGGAACAGGATTGTCATAGGTGGTTTTTTTAACTACTCCTGGGGGCATTGTTAGATATACTTGCTGACTGGTATTTTGAAAAATTACCAAAATTGAAAAATGATTAGTGTGTTATGTTGACAAAATGTGCAGAATTCCCCCAGGAGTATGTTCTACAGAGTGCAACACATGCACAAAAAAACCTCCCTGTTTAAGTTCGGAGCTCAGATTGGACAGTTGCTGGGCACCTGCGCTGTACCATGATTGAGGGGAGGGCTCTGTGCAGCAGCATCTGTAGGTGTTCACATAGGGACATGAAGTAAATTAAGTACTGGCATTTAACATTCAGTTTTAAAGCTTCTGTTGGAAGACCTATTCTGAAAATGCAATAAATAAAATCCACCATTATATGATTTCTCCCCTGTACCCTGCATCTGAGATCTCTGGGGGCTGTGTACCAGTTTGGAAACCCCTGGTATAGTCTCTAATACCTAGCTCTTGCAACACTGCATCAGGAGCCCTCAGCACTTCACAGGTTAGTATTACAGAAGCACTGACTCCAGGGTGGCCTGTACCACAGTAAACTAGCAAGTGTAAGCTGCTGGTTCCTTTGAGGGTCAATTCAATAATTAATTACTGGAGTACTCAGCCCAGTATCTGTAATGATCACTGTCCTTATGGGCCCTGCAGAACAAGTCCCATATTCATATACCACAGAGTCAATGAAGTGTAAACTGCACAACCTGGCTCAAGTTTATCTAGTCTATTCTAGAACTTACCTTCTTTCAGGGGGAAGATGCATATTAAACACTTGGCCATTAGACTGGGATAGTTTAATGTTACACTTGTTTTGTTGCAGAGACTTCCTGAAGAACATCAAGTGATACCAGCTGCTGCAGTGTACATTAATCACCATGGGCACACTTACAGCTGAAGCCACCTTGTGGCAGAGACTTTCAACAAAACTACAATAGAAAGTTTAATTTGATTTTAATCAGCAAATGGACTAGAATACAGTTGTGTAGACAGACCCAGCTACTGGCAACATAGCTTTACACCTCCTCCCCCCCCCGCGCGCCCCCCCCCCCCCCAAGCTGTACCCAGGTAGGGTAAATAGTTTGCTTTAAGCTTTTTGTTTTCTTTCTAAAGTGCTCTTACATTTAGTGCAGCTCTTAATTTTGAGCTGTTTTTGAAGTGATAAATAAACCTCTCCAGGGCTATTTACAAACATCACATCTGTGAAACTAGTAACTTAACTACACAATTAGGAGTCAGTACTTGAAGCCCTATTAGCACTGAATTGGACTTTAACACCTTAGTAGGAACAAAGTGCTTAATACCTGGAGTATGACTATTGGGTAGTGATTTGACCAGTGTTCATAGGAAGATATGTTACTACGTTATGGTGGCCATGCCAACAGCTAACTACATCATGAACCATGAAATCTTTTAGAATCCGAAGAGGAGGGCTGGAAAGGATCTTGAATGTTGTATTAAGGTGGGGAGGTAATTATTCAGCTCTCTGCACTCATGAGGCCTCAGCGGGAGTATTAAGTCCAGTTCTTTAAGAAATTAGAACCCGCGGGAGACCAAAAAGTGATCAAAGGTTAGAATTGTGCATGCTCAGTCTTGAGAAAAGATGGCTGAGTGAGGACTTGACTGTCTTCAACTGTTAAAGGCTGGTTCAAAAGGACAGTGTTCTGTGCCCAGTGCAGTTAGAACACTTCATAATGGGCTTACTTTGCAGCAAGGGAGGTTTAGGTCAGTTTTTCCTAATACTGAAACTAAGTCACCCTTGCTCCTGAGGAAGCCTATTACTACTTGTTCATGGCCACTACATATAGAACACTTGACTGCTGGCTGACCAGCCCTTAGTATTTACAGACTTGTTAGGTCTGTTTTCCTCCCTCCTCCCCCCAACTTTCCTTGTGACAGTTTATGTAACATTTAACTTGAGGACAGATACAGTAAAATAGCCTGGATGGAGTCTACACAAGCAATCCCAGGTTCTGACTTTAGGCTTAAGTAAACCACAGTGAGTGCACTGGATATTTCAATTGGCACTTTTATTCCAGCACCGAAAGCAAGCAGTTGTATTCTAACATTCAGGTTTCCTAACATTCAAGGTGTTAGGAAAGACAAAAAGATATTCACTAAACAGTTAGGGGAATGTATGTATGTAACAATGCTTACACCACATCCTTACTAGAGACAGCTTGCACAGCAGAGTCTTCTCAGAACTACATCTTCAGCTTTTGAGTTGTGCAATTGGGATTCTTATCAGCCACATCCCTTGGTTCATTAGGTGGAGGCATCTTTATGTCAGAAGGCTCCACATTCCAGATGTCCCGGGCATATTCCTTAATGGTCCTGTCACTGGAGAACTTCCCAGAGGCAGCTATGTTTCTAATAACCAGTTTGGTCCACTCTTTAGCATTCTGTGGATAGACCAGATCACAGCACTTGAATGCAGATACAATTCCTGCAAGGCCTAGCACAGTGTCTGTTCTACCGAGTGCCTGAAAGGACTGGCAAACTCCTCTCTAGGACTATGGTTGGAGACCAGCCCTGAAGGAAACAGCAGCATTACTATAGTACCCAAGAGGGAAAGTGTCTAAAGTTTGAGTAAGGGCAATTTTAGAGAAACTTGTAGACCAGCAGCTTGGAGAGGTATGGTTAGCACAGCACATGATCCTGTTCCAGTGAAGACATGCCTGAAGGTCACTTTCAGAGTTAAGTATTTGGACACATGAAAGCTTTGCACACAGCTCAGGATCAGCGGCTCTGCGTTAGTGCATACTGAACAAGGCCAGCTTTTTGAAGAGCCATTTCTGAATTGGCTCAAATACATTTTTTGCTAATGGAGATCCAAGTGAGCAGTTTGCAGAGCAGCCCCCACCCAAAAGCAGGCTATAGCCTCCAGCAGATGGTAAGTTTCTTGCTCTCCCAGCCACCCAACTAACGGAGCAGGAAAAAGGGGGTGACAGGCAGAAGTCGGGTCACTATCATCAGTTAAGCTCTAAAGAATCTCTCTGGTCTCTCAGAACTGTGACTCAATCTGCCATTATATTCAAGTAACTGGTAAGTCACTACAGGTAGATGCACTGGGCTAGATCTACCTCCCCCAAACCAGTAGATACAGTGGGTTACAGCAGGGGATTTACCAGACTAACCCAGTAGGCCCTGACACAAGTTAAGAGCAGCTGTCAAGATGCTCTAACTTGCAGTAGGGAATAAGTCCCCAAAGGCCACTTTGCAGTAAGGATCCAATCACATTCCAGCCCCCCCCCCCCCGGATCATTCCCTGCCCCATTCTTACCATATACAGCTGGCTGACTTTGTCTTGGCATTTGACATATGCCTCATAATCTGCAAATACTTTAAACCTATTGGAGCAAAGAAAAAAGTGCAAGTCACTCACCCTACTCCTACAGACATTTTAAATACCTAGGTGACAGCGGACTAATATGAAATAGAAAACTATAATGCTCATTGGTCTGCCCTGTTTAGAGCTGAGAATTGAGACACAAACAGGGAAATACTTCACGAAACATGTATTCCTGACCTGTTTGAAAGTCTTCGACTTGTTCACCTAGAACTAACCCCCATCCTAGCCTGTATCCAGTTGTCAGTGGAAAGAGGGATAGTGCAGACTATCCAAGACAATGGTACGCCAAAGACATTCAAGGAAGACAAGATGTCATGGGAACTAACATTTATTATATATTCCCATAGCGCCTATAATTTCAAAGTAGCTGCCCGCATAATAGGTAAAGCATCCTCTGCCACAGACAGCTTTTAGTCCAAGCACTGCCAGAGACAAACACCCTCCTCCTGGCCTGAAATAGGGAAAGAGCAGCAAGTGACACCCTAGTTACTGTTCACATTCTAGGAGAACTACAGGCTGTACCATTCAACAGGGCTATTAAGAAACCTCACAGCAGAGGAACATCATCTGTATACACTTGTGACAAAGGCATGTGCCCAAATGTATCAGTTTTATATTCCCAATAGGAATATAAAAAAATGCTAAAAATCAATTCCAACAAGTTCTATAACGTTAGAATTGTAGAGAGCCTTTCACCCCCAAAGAATCCTACATAGCTTTTCCATCAATACAGCACTCTGAAATACAGTCACCTCGGGGGAGAGCGTGACAGCAAGGCAGATAAGTGGCAGCCAGTACATTGCAAATCTGGGGTCTAAAGAGTTTTGGCTAAAGATACTGCAGCAAACAGATAAATGCCACGGACTGCATGGGGGAGACGGGACCTCAGCTCCTCAAGCCACATCTGAAAAAATCACACACACTACTTCTCATAACACAAGAACAAGGGGGTCACCAAATGAAATTAATAGGCAGCAGGTTTAAAACAAATAAAAGGAAGTATTTCTTCACACAACAACAACAGTCAACCTGTGGAACTCCTTGCCAGAGGATGTTGTGAAGACCAAGGCTCTAACAGGGTTGAAAAAAGAACTAGATAAATTCATGGAGGATAGGTCCATCAATGGCTATTAGCTGGGATGGGCAGGAATGGTGTCCCTAGCCTCTGTTTGCCAGAAGCTGGGAATGAGCGACGGGATGGATCACTTGATTACCTGTTCGGTTCATTCTCTCTGGGGCACCTGGCATTGGCCACTGTCAGTAGACAGGATACTGGGCTAGATGGACCTTTGGTCTGACCCAGTAGGGCCATTCTTATGTACACATCCTTGGAAGGATAAAGGCCTAAATGGACCATGCTGGGGTCTCTACTTGGTACCAGGGAAGACCGGTATTTTGAACTGAATGCTGATACCACTAAGCCATCTCCTGCCCCATAGTTAGTATTTCAGAGGTGGTTCCTACCTGTCATGGTGGAACAACATGTTGGTCACATCATTAAAAAGGTCAGGTTGCTTTGGAGAGAAGAAGCCACTCTTGATCTGATCAATGGCCTGCTTCAATTCAGGAAGTTTCTCATAGTATTCCTGAGCATTGTACCTGAGGTGCAGAGAGGGAAGATGTTTAACAAGCCATTTTAAATGTCTATAAGTTCTAACACTGATGCATCCTACCTACTGCCATGGTTAATACACTAGTCTGGTGCTCTGGTGCCCTCTACTGCTGTAGTCCTTTTGATAAAACAGTCCTTTTAACGGAAGCGCTTTCCACCTACATGGTATTCAGAAGTTGCACCACTTCCTAATGGCTTTGTTCCTTGCCAAGGTAAACCCATGCCTATGCTGCCTCTAAGACTGGATTACAGCAATGCCCTTTCTTTGGAGCTACCCTTGGAAAGCTACTCTCCAAGGCTGGGCTACTGAGCCAAGCGGCAGTCTGAATGCACAAAGGCTGAAGTTCAGAGTTATTGTAGTCGTGTTGGATCAGACGAGGAGAGAGACAAGGTGGGTGAGGTAATACCTTTTATTGGATCACCTGCTGCTGATGAAAGAGACAAGTTTTGGAGCTGTTGGCCAGCAGTGTAATTCAAAGCTTCATTTGTATAAAGGCCCAGTCCAGGGGACTGTCTATTGTTTTTTCCCTTCCCTCAAAGCTCTCCTTCATGTAATGCTGTACAAGAACCTCACCCTTTCTTGTCCAGCTCTTCAACATCCTGGATCCTCATCCCAAAGATGAACAAGTTCTCTTCTCCAGCCTCCTCTGCCATTTCAACGTTTGCTCCATCCATCGTCCCAATGGTCAGAGCTCCATTCAGCATGAATTTCATGTTTCCTGTACCAGACGCTTCAGTGCCTGCTGTGGAAATCTGTTCAGACAAGTCGGTTGCTGGAATCACTGCCAATAAAATGCATTAAGAGGTTCACAATTACTGGCTTCATTCCTAATTCCATTTGAGTCAATTTAAAGTCTAAACATGAATCTATCCTTGGCATCACTGCCCAGTTTAAGAGCAGCATCCATTAGCATCCTCTGACTGGTGTTGTGTTGGTGCCTAGTTCCAGGGATTTACACTGATCAAAACGTTTGCTGCAGACTGGGACCTAGCTTTAAAAAGACATTGGCAGGACATACCAGCCTGTTGCAGCTTCCTAA